GCGTGTGTGTGTGTGTGTGTGTGTGTGTGTGTGTGTGTGTTTTCAGTACTTGGGACTGAACCCAGGTTCTCACAAATACTAGGCAAGCATTCTACCACTGAGCTGTATCCCCCAACCTGGCCCTTATCTTTTGGTCATGACATGCTGTAGAGCCCTGGACCACATAGCAACACTCTTTCCTGAAGGACAGATGCCCGTCTAATGTGGATGCTGGACAGACTCTGTGGACAGTAGGAATGCTGGGTTATCCCAAGGGCAGGCAGCAGGGGTCAGACAGAGTGCAGGGAAGTGGCACAAAGGAACAGTTTTCAGAGCCAGAAGAGGGTGGGGGCACCCGGGGATCCTCAGCTGCACACTTCAGCCTGGACTGGGAGGAGGGGCCAGTGTTCAGACAGAACTGAGGTATCCAAAGGCAACTGTTGCCCACAGCCCCCCAATCTATTAGTCTGTGCACAAGCACGCACCTGCCTGTGAGTCACTTAATGGGCTCATTAAATCCTACAGCGTGGTCATACAACCTGCACTTTCCCTAAATGTAACTTACAAAGCTTTGCTTCAAAATGGCTTCATTATGCTTGGAAATACTTTCTCTGACAGAGCTCATTTCCTATTGCAATTACCACACTTGGTAGAAAACGAGGCTTTGTGGGTAGGAGCTCCAGGGGTCTCTTTTCAGGTATACATCCAGCCCATATGCAGGTGCTCTTCAGACCTGTCAGAGAGGGCTAAGAATCCAACCCGCTAAATGCTCAGAGACCAGGGGCCCATCCAGCCTCCTCATCCCCTTCATGGTAGTCTGCAGAGAGCAGCCATTTGTCATAGAAAACACTGGGAAAGGTAAGAGGAGGGTGTAAGATGAAGGGTGGTCGGCCTAGGCTGCCATGGATGACTGACAGTGTGGGTAGCCCCCAGGAACCAGATGGCTGGGCCCTTGAAGCCCACCAATGCCAGCTGCTGGGACCCTTCCTGGGGGCTGTGGGTGTACCACCTGCAGTGCGATTCCTTCAACATCCACCCTGTCAGAGCACCGCACAGCTGGCAGTCACCTCATGTTTCCAGGAGGCACTTCCCCTGGTACCAAGAATATGCCCCTTATTTCCGGCTCTGTACTGTAGTCTTCCCAGTTCTGGTCCCAGATCTGAGGCGCAGCTGGAGAGAGGGCAACAGCAATGAAACCAATTAAACCCCGCTCTGGTCCCCAGCTGGGGAGAGGGGCAGTTAATCAGTGGACATCCCAGTGACGGGCCCTCTGAGGCTAGCAGGGTGAACTGAATTCAGAGACTTCCTGACTGAGAACACCTCAGTTCTCTTGAAAGCTGAAATAAAGGGTGAGGGGGAAATGTATAGCACCCACAGAATAGGCCTCAGGGGCTTCCTGCCGCACAGAGAGGTGAAAAGGGTCCCAACATTACAGCCTTCTGGTCCCACAGGCTGAGGGACCTTTGGAAAAAGGTCCAAGTTCAGGATCCACAGAAACCTCACCTCTTGAATCTGAAGAGGTTGCACACAGTGCTGGGAACTGCAAAGGTGGCGTGAGGGTAGAAGCCCAAATTCCCTTGTAAGTAGTGTATCAAAGCCACATGTCCCCACCATGCCCTAGGGCCAAACCCTACCTGTGTCCATATAACAGTGTACAGAGACCTCCTCTCCTCTCAGCATTGCCATACCCTCCTTCCTGATCCCTGAGAGACAAGCAGGTCACCATCAGCCCATCCATACCTACGTGCAGTTGGGCACGTGGACCCTGAAACCAATGGAGGAGTCTCTGTGACAGCTGGAATCTAAGGGGTGAGTGCTTGCTCCTGTCTCTTCCTGAGAGATTTATCATCTTTACCATCATCATCATCACCATCATCAGTATCAACATAACCACCACTATCATTATGTCCTAGTTTGTTCTTCATTGCTGTGACAAAATAATCTGACCAATACCAACTTGGGGAGGAAAGGGTTTATTCAGCTTACATCTCCCAGGTCACAGTTCATCAGGAAGCCCAAGGTAGGAACTCAGGGCAGGAACCTGGAAGCAGGAACTGGAGCACAGGCCATGGAGGAACGCTGCTTACTAGCTTGCTCCCTGGCCCCTGCTCAGCCTGCTTTCTTATGCAACACAGGCCCACCTGCCCAGGGGTGGCACCACCCACAGTGGGCTGGGCCCTCCCACATCACTCATCAAGAAGATGCCCCTCAGACGTGGCCACAGGCCAGTCCAATAGAGGCAATTCCCCAACTGAGGCTCCCTCAACCCAGGTGTGTCAAGTTGACACTAAAGCTATCCAGCACATATTACCACTGTTACCATCACCATCACCGCCATGATCATCACTGTCACCATCTTCATCATCACTACCACACCACCATAATCATTACTATCACCATTACCACCACCACAACCATCATCACTATCCTCACCACCATCATCATCATCATACTCACCATAACCATTATCACCATCATATAACCATTATTACCATCACTGTCATCATCACCACCACCATTATCACCACCATTACCTCCACTATCACCACTATTATCACCATTGCTTTCACCACCAGTTACCACCATCATCGCCACCAAACCATTATCACCATTATCACTATCCATTACAACCATCATCACTATCTTTATCACCATAACAACTGTTATTGCCATCATTACCATTGTCACCACCACCACTGTTATCACCATCACCATCACTACCATCACCACCACCGAACTATTATCAGCATGATCATCACTATCCCCACAGCCATTGTGGTGCCCAGGTCGAGAGACCCCAAAGACCACCAAGGAGCCGACCACTGCAAACACACAAGGGTTCTTTTACTGTTACAAGCTTAAGCTTGGGCCCGTTCTGTCACTGACTCAGCGGATCTCAGATGTGAGACCCCTTGCTTTGGGAGACAGAGGTTTTTATAGGTTTATTTCAGCAAGTTCAGCAAGTAGGAGAGTAGGGGGTCTTCAGCCTGGCAAGCATCTGATTGGTTGCAGCTCAGTGCCAAACCATAAGCTGCTGGCTTCAGGAAATCTGAAAAGATATCTGGACTTTTAGTACTTTCCTGTCCCTGGTTAATTGACCACTGGCGGGGCAGTTGTTCTCTATCTGTTCCAAGTATTGTGGTTTTTCTTGGAACAGGGCCTGGGACTGTCCTATGGAGGTTTTATCCAAGATGGAGTCACTCAGGTCTCTCACCATCATCACCACCACAACTGTTATCACCATCATCATTGCCACCACCACCACCACCACTGTTAGCACCAAGATCATCGCCATCACCATCACTTTACAGTTCTTCATGTGGTGCATAACAGACACCTCCCCATCTAGATCACTAAGTATCATTATTTCCCATCATTGCTTCAGGTTGCTGTTTTAGCAGGAATACCTCCCTCTGCCCCATAACCCCATTGTCCTCACTCCCCAGAGGCACTGCTCCCCTAGAACAGAGTGTCTCCCAAGTTTTTTGGCCACATGTAGCTTTTCTATAATGTATTAAGAACTTTCATAACTGACACCTTAATGCACCTGCCCTTTGTATTTTCTCTTAGCCAACAGAGAAGAGCTCACATGTCACTCCGACTAGCTCTACAACCTCCGGCGCACACCCCAGTTGACTCACAGGGCTCCTGCACTCTATTTCCAAGACCACATGCTAACCAGAGTCAGGCTCTGAGCTGGATATAGCTGATCAAAGAAGCCTGGGCTTCCGCTGCTGTGTCTTTCCGGGACTCAGTTTCCTCATCTATGAAGGGCAACTAGTGGCAGAGCCTGTTCCCTAGGAACATTGTGGGAGTCCAGTGAGTCATTGTCATGAAGTGCTGGCACAAGGCTGGGGCCACAGGTGATGTCTGGCAGCCATGATGGTGAGAGTCAGGAAGGTGATATCCTGGTTCCACCCTCTAAGGATCCTGTGGTCTGTGGGACAGGAGCCACCACGACTCATGTAACCCTCCAGGACAGCAAGAGCTACCTCTGGTCAGTAGTTGGCTTTGGCTGAGTGAAGAGACGACAGAGTGGTGAGGGGCCACTCAGGGGACATGTTGGAAGAAGGCTAGCCAGGCCGTGCCAACCCCAGGATGTGTCAGGAGGAAACACTCGTTACCTCTGGGGCCCAGCAGGCTCCACCCAGTGTGTTGAATGTGGCAGGCAGCACACTCTGCTGGCTTTCCTCATGACAACAGGGGAACAGTGTTCTTGTTCTGGGTAAAGCTAAATTTTGCCTGGAATCAGAAACATGGTAGAGTGCATAGCCAAAGGACTACTGCTGTGTAACAGGCTCAAGAATGTGACCAGCTATAGATAACACAGGCCACACATGCACTCCTTCTGCCCTCCATAGGGCATCCCCAGAATCCTTCCCAACAATCCTTTCCAGCACGTTCTCTACCAGCACGCCTTCTTCCCTCTCCTTGGCTCCATCAGTCCAAGGTAGAAGAGGCCACAGCCATATATCCATGAGGTTCCAGGCCCTTGTAGATGCCACCTTTAGTCCTAAGTTGAGGGATATCTCAGCCCACACCAGTTTCTGGGAGGAGACAGAATGTGGACGGGCCTGGACCTCTACACCCGGGCATGGGGCAAAAGACTGTGTGTGTGTGTGTGTGTCCTAGGGTCTCTGATGGCTTTCCACAGACACTTGGTATCCTGTGTCACCACCCACTTGAATTTCCTACAAGTTCCTAGGGCTAAATTCTGAAGTTGGACTTAAACAGGGCAAAGAAGTTGCAGAATGTGCCTTGTCTGGACACCTACCTAGGCTCGGCGATTCCCCCCTTTCGGCTTCTCTCATTTCAGCTGTGATCATGATCCTGGGCTTGGTTTGAGTGCAGACTCCAACTCCCCTCATGGGTCACCTCATTTTGAAGAGTTAGGATCTGGAATTAGTTTTTCCACCAAGTGTCCTGGGGCTGGACATCAGAGTCAAGGCACCGTCCCAGAAATCAGAACTCCTCCACCCCGAGATGCCCCATACCCCAGGAAGGGCCTCTGGCTGACACTGGCCCCTCTGGGTCAGGGTGTCCAGGCCTGGGGTCTGAGGACAGCAGGGGCTGGAGGTGTCCTAGACATGGTTGTAGTCAGAAATGTGGTGCCCACTAACCCCCTAATGGCATGGAACATTGGGAGAGCAGGGAGTCACAAAACAGGCAGCAACTGGCAAGGACTGGGGGCAGGAGTCATGGCCTTAAATGCTTGCCTCTGTGTGGGTGGGTGGTGGGGTATGAGCAGGAAGGGCACTGGCACATGGCAGGTTCTCAGGTCTTTCTGGAATGGGACCTACCATGTAATGGTCCTGCCAGGAATGAAGGTATTCTAGAGATATTTGGGCCCTCTCTTTGACTCTCACATTGTTCAAACAATGGATCCCAAGAAATTGGAATTTTCCCAGGAATCTCATTCTGTGAGAAGGGGCAGACTGAAGTCTGGTGCCAGTCTGAGCGGGAGCTTATCTCCCAGAAAGAGATTTCACAGTTCTAACAACTTGCCATATCATCTTGCAGGAGAGACTGGAGCTGAAGAAGTTGGGGTAGTAGGACCACACCATGCCCAGGCCTGCTTAGCTCTGTGTGCCTCTTGCCTTCTACTGACAGCTAAGCCTCATATTAGGGCCCTGTAGATGGACTTGGGCCGACCCTGGGTTCCTTTTCCCAATGTGATCACGTTGAATCCCTTCTGGGCCTTTGGACTAGGATCAAGTGTAAGAACTAGAATATGTTCCTATCAGTGTAGTATCTGACACAACCTGTATCCAATGTGATTGCACTGAATACATATTTTTCTGTTTTTCACTATGTTTAATTGGCCTATGGAAGACAAATGGCCCAGCATCAGTTGTTGGGGCTGCCAGGGCCCAGGTTCTGACTCTTACAACTCCAGTGACAATCACGGAGGGAAGGCTGCCACTTGCTCTGGTGTCCTCCCCCAATACCTGTCCACATCTCCTGCCTCTCTGTACCTCATTCTGTCCAGGCCCAGAGGGCTGGTCCCCTATAGATGCATGCCAGGTCTGCCCTACTGGGCCAGGCAGCATTGTCTGATAAAATACAGGACTCAATTAAATTTAAATTTCAAATCAGCAGCAAATAATTTTTTTTTTGTCTTTTTGAGACAGGGTCTCCCTGTAGCCCCAGCTGTCCTGGAACTCACTATGTAGACCAGGCTAGCCTTGAACTCACAGAGATCCACCTGCCTCTGCCTCCCGAGTGCTGGGATTAACGGCGTGCACCACCACACCCGGCTGGCAGCAAATAATTTTTAATGCTGTTTGGAATGCCCTTCCTCAGGAACATGGCAGGCTGTGAATGCAAACAAGTATAGCCATTGGTGGAGAAGCTTCGAATGTGGGAGTCACTGGACTGTGGGAACACAGAGGCATTTTCACCCATGATGGGCCTGGCTGCAGCTGCTTTAAGATATGTGTCTGGCTGGGATTTCCACACGGGTGCCCTGAGGAGAGGGTGATGAGTCCTGCTGTGGGCCAATGCCCTAGAATTGCTGTCTCTGGTTAAGCTGAGGTAGACACACAGTATTATCTGATGTGAAAAATTACATTTACTGTGTTCATAGATTGTGCAGCCATTCACCCAATCCCCCCTAATTTGGTGACATTTCTACCACTCTAGAAGGACTCCCATGTCCATCAACTGTCACCACCACCCACTTCCCAGCCACAGGTCACTCACTTGCTGTGTAGTCTTTGTATCTTATACAAATGGAACACACAGTGTGCCCTTTTGACCGGCCTCTCACGTAGCCATGTAACTGAGGTCCATCCATGCCCTAGGCATGCACCATGCTGCTTTTGTCTACCACTGAGTCATATTCCCACGTGTGGATCCCCACTGTTCATCTGCTCTGTCATGTGCTGAGAACATGTGTGTATCTATATGGAATTCTCCTGGAGTTTATTCCAAGGAGTGCAGTTGCCGTGTCAGAGGCCGGTTTGGTGTCTGGGGGTGTATGTGACTGTTTCAGTGTTTACTGTCACCTCTGGGCTGGTATTTTCTCTTTTTATTTATTTATTTATTTATTTATTATTATTTTTTATTTATTTATTTATTTGATTTATTATTTGGTCTTTTTTTTGAGACAGGGTCTCCCTGTAGCCCCAGCTGGCCTGGAGCTCACTGTATAGACCAGACTGGCCTTGAACTCCCAGAGATCTGCCTACCTCTGTCTCCTGAGTGCTGGGATTAAAGGCATGTGTGGCCATGCCCGGCTTTCTCCCTTATTTTTATATGGGAAGGGCTGAGGGGTCAGAGCAGGCTTATCCAACAGAGCTGGGGGTCTCCTGGGGTTGCCTCTCCACATGTGCCCCCTCCCTCCCAGATGTGGTGGGATCATGTAAAAAAGTCTGGGAGCGCCAGCAAGATGGCTCAGTGGGTAAAGGTGCTTACTGCTAAGCCTGACAACCTGAGTTCAATCCCATGGTAGAGAACTGACTCCTGCAAGTTGTCCTCTGACTTCCATATACATGCTGTGGCACTCACACCATGCACACACCTACCCACACATAATAAATGCAATAAAAAAAAAAAACTTCTTAAAAGTTTGGGGGCTGAAGAGATGGCTCATCAGTTAAGACTTTCACTAATGGGCTGGAGAGATGGTTCAGTGGTTAAGAGCACTGGCTGCTCTTGCAGAAGACCTGGGTTTGAATCCCAGCACCCACATGGCAGGCTAAATAACAGTTCATACTTCCAGTTCCAGGGGACCTGATGCTTTCTTCCGACCTCCATGGGCATTTCATGACATGGGTGAACTTACATATATGAAGGCATTACACGCATACACATAAAATAAAAATTTAAAAAAGGCTTAACACTTACTTTGTAATCATAAGGACCAGAGATTGCATCCCAGCACCCACATAACAAGTCAGATGTCCAGCGCCCACTAGTAACCCCAGCTCTGAGGGAGAGGGTGGAACACACCATGCCTCAGGGATAGGTGGAGTGATGAAGGGCACTTGATGGCCTACTCTTTGCACACATTACACACACACAAACACACACACACACACACACACACACACACACACACTTACCAGCCATTGAGATTGCTCAGAGGTAAAAGCGCTTGCTGCCCAAGGATGATGATCAGAATTCTATTCCCAATACCCACGGTGGAAGAAAAGAGCAGATTCCTTAAAGTTGTCCCCTGACCTCCATATGCACATTGTGACCTGTGTGCATACACATACTCAAACATACAATAATAAAATCAAATTTAAAGACTTTTCTGGGATGGACTGCCTGACCAGGAGGAACAAAACAGGGACACAATGGGACCAGCAGAGAGCCAGGGAGGAAAGCCAGGTGTTCATGGACCACAGGCTAAGACTGAAGGGGGCAGAATGCCAGGGCTGCCTTGCCAGTGTGCTGTACACAGCAGTGTAGGGCTGTCTCTCCAGTAATGAGCCTCAGAGCCCTAGGTGATTTCAAACAGGCATTTCTGGAAGACACACAAGAAAGATGGGCCTCAAAGTTAGGTAAAAAGACAATGTTTGAGGTGTGCTTGTCACTTGTAAGCCCAGCTCTCAGGAGGCTGAGGCAGGAGGATCATGGCTTTGAGGACAGCTGAGCTCCACAGAAAGAATGTGTCTTTAAAAAAAAAAAGAATCTATCCATAAGCTGATCCTACCGTGCAGTTGACTGATCAGCAAGATGGCCCATGGGCTGGGACCCTTCTGTCTGTATCAAACACAGCCTACCTTTAAATCACCAGAAGGCAATACTAGCCAGATACTCGGGAAACCGTAGATACCTCTAGATGGGTCACTCACAGGAGGGAAACTGGTCATTTAACAATGTCTGACAGTTACATAGGCACCCTACTATTTCCTTCCCTCTATGCAGAGCACTAAGTGCAGACGTGTGACCATCTGTTTCAGAGACTAACACGTCTGACATATGGATTGACCTACAGGTTCTTTCTAACTTCTAGGGCCACATACATGTTGTGCATGTCTGTCAGATGACACACGACTCTTCAACACAGGTCTTATTTTAAGTCCCTGGGCACTTCATACATGTTATGAAGAAAATGATGGATAAACCCTTTAGACACAAACTCCACATATGACCCAAAAAACACATCAGAACCCAGCATCTCCTGCCTCCAGCATTCTGGGACTTCAAGCCTGTGAGGCTGGTCATGCAGGAAAGAGAGGAGGCTAATCCATCAGGACCCACGGAGGAAGACTACACAGAGCCTCCATGGAAGCACTCACAACTTTATTCAACAGAAACATGCACAGGGACAAGAACTGTAAAAGGAAATAAACAGTCAAACCTGAACCAGGTCTCCTGGCCCCTCAGAATCAAGTGCAGTGAATCAGCCACCTGTGCCTTGGTGGGCATCACATGCCTACTGCCCATGCCCACGGGCTCAGGGCAGAGCAGGTACAGGCTCTGTGTCCTGTTACCACACAAGCTGCACAATAGTCTACTGTCCCTGCACCTTCCTAACACCAGTCAACTGAGGATAACTAAATTGATGAACAGCCAGGCTTCCCTCTGAAGCCCCTCCAGCCTACTCCAGGCCCTCTGCAGAGAGGACAGTCATCTGGGACCAACTGCTCCTGGGCTGCTAAGGGCAGGAACCACTGGCTCTTCCGTCCCTGGGGCCCTGGGA